AGTCCCAGATCACCGCCGGGCCATCAAGAGCTGCTCAGGCCTGGGAACACGCAACGTGGGGCCACCACCAAGAAATATCCCACCCCGAGCAAGGCTGGGAGATGTTTCCCTTGAGTGCCCTCTTGCTCCTGACGTGCCTGCACAGGCCTAACCCTTCCCGATGCTCACTCTACCTGCGCAAGCTCCACTAAAGGTGGACACCTTTCACGGCATCCCAGTGTCTCCGGGGTTGGCTGATGGATCCTGTCCTGTGGGTGCTTCTTCCCAGCTCGGGGACACCTTTAAGCCCACCAGCCACCCCAGCCTCTGCTCACGGGCATGCTCCCAAGGAGCTGGAACATTGGGATGACCACAGCCTTGGTGGGCAGCCAGCTGGAAGCAGAGCCGTGTGCCTGGGCCCAGCCTGCACCCGTCTTCTCCATCACTTTGCAGAAACACGACAAAACATTGTGGAGTTTCCATCCTGCTTCCCCCATGGGAGCAGTCTTCCACATTTTGGTCGGGACAAGTGACCTGTCTGCAGTCCCCACCTAACCAAACCCAACACCCACCCACCGCTGCAGCTGCGTGATGCAGCCCCAATCCTGACCAAGAAAGTAGATAACTCATTAAAAAAAAATGAAGAAAAATAGAAAGTTACCTTCCGAGAAGCTTCTCCCTCCAACAGTCTTCCCACAGCAAGTGCAAGTAGGCGCAAGCCCTTCCTCTGCGATGGCTCGGAGCGCTCTCTCCTCCCACGAGAGGACAGCTGGCCTGGACCCAGGGCTCTTGCTAGATACAAGATGTCCTTTACCCAGATATATCCTCGTCCTGTGAACACACAAGCCCTGGATCGCTGCGTTCAGCCGGGGCAGTGACTCAGCCTCTCATGCAGGATTATGAGAGACCACGTGGATTCGCCTACGTTGGGCGCACGAGGCTGGGGGAGACCTTCCAACACGCTGCAGCGGCAGTCGGACACCGCCCGTGCCATCGTCCGCACATCCCCGGCGCCCACAGGTGAGAGACGATCAGGGGATGGATTTGCACAGGACAGGAGGAACAATCCAGCTCCTTCCACAGCTCCCAGCACCACCTGGCCCCTGGCAGCCTGCCTGCGCTCCCCAGCCAGAGCTCTGCAGGACCCTTCCCCGGAGCAGGAGGTCATCGTGCTGGGGAGCCGCGCTCCTGTGCCGCGACAGACACCCCCCGACACGCGTGTGACATGTGGCCAGACCCGTGAGCAGCAGAGGACGGGCAGGAGTCCCCTGGGAGACTGCAGGGACTTACCACGCTCGGTTTATTATTTAAATTCGCAGTGTTTATTTAGTATTTGCAAAATATATCATTAAAAAGGCTTAGCACATGGATTTTCACCAGACATGAAGAAATCCCACCTATTGCACAGTAAGTATTATTTTCTACTCTACAGTGAGTGATTGCATGTAATAACAATTTTTGGACTTTCCTTATTTAACCATTCATATTTCAAAGGCCTTTTCACTTAAATTTCTCCAGCACCCTCGCTCCCCAAGCTAGAAGAAGCCCCGTATTATCTCCCAGTGCAAGACTATAGCAAACCCAAAAGCTGGAACACAAAGGAGCACACGCTCTTTCAGTAATTATTTTTCCCTGGAGGAATCTGATCAGGAATAGATTTGTACTTGTTTCAGCTGGGATGGAGTTAATTTTCCTCGTAGTTGCTAAGTTTCTTCAGAGTAGGATGGTGCTGTGTTTCAGATTTGTGACCAAAACAGTGTTGGTAACACACCTGTGGCTGAGCTGGTGCTGAAGAGTGCTCATGCAGCGCCGAGCTCTCTCTCATGCCGCCCCCTCAGCGCCGGCTGGGGTAGGCAAGAGGCGAGGAGGGGACAGGGTCAGAAAAGCCGACCCCAGCTGACCAAAGCGATGTTCCAGACTGCATGACATTGTGCCTGGCGACAAAAGCTGAGGGGGCAAGGAAGAGAAAGGGACAGGGCATTGGGAGTTACGGCATCTGTCTTTCCAGTTCACCATTATGCGTGACGAAGCCCTGCTCTCCCGGGGATGGGGGAACACCTGCCTGCTGAGGGGGAAGTAACGAAAGGATTCTTTGATTTGCATGCCCAGCTTTACCTATTACAGTGTCTTTATCTCACCCTACAAGTTTTCTCACTTTTACCCTTCTGATTCTCTTCCCCATCGCACTGGGGGAGCGGGCGAGCAGCCAGGTGGGGCTCATGCTTTCACAACATGTTCTCCCACAACAGGGCACTCTGTGATTCCCACAGGTCTTAAGCAGGTCTGAATGTTCTTTTGTAGGAGCCTAAGGCTCTTATCAAAGTACACGCAGTGCAGGTATCATCTCTGTAACGTTCTAACTGCCAAATAATTGTTACAGGCACACGATGAAACCCAGAGCCCCAAAAAGGGTGTCAGCCCTCACTGGTTCACCGAGTTCCACGAATATTTCACCTCAATTACCCGGGCAAGCCTCACCAGGTTTATTCATAAGCGTCACTATTGGTAAAATGCGTCACCCAGCACAGCCTGTCTCAGACTTATCACCGAGAGCGTTGCTGTTGGGAGCACAACAGAGGACAGACCATCCTGGAAACTGCACGGAAAACACCGTGAACCCCATCGCAGCTGAAACTTAAGCTCCTGTTCATCGTGGAAGGAAGGTAAGGGCTTTGGTGCAAGACACAGCGTGCGCGTCCCTGGAAGCGGCACTCTGCAGGGCACGGGGTGGAGGGAGGGGCTGGTGTTTCTTGCTTTGCAGTCTTCCTTTTGAGAGCTTGTGCCCAGTGGTCCCTATGCTTCGGCATGGCTTTAATAAACAGGAGTCCAAGCTTCCTCTTGATTAGTGCTGCTCTAAGGCTACTTGGTGTGCTTGACAGCTCACTGGAACAACCCAGTATAAAAAAAAAAGTGACTTCTCAGCTTAAGGAAACAGGCACAAAGTGAGCACTCTGGGTATGACTTGCACGTGGCGCCTTCTCTCTCTTTAGTAAACCATCTGTGAAAGCAAAACACAAGGAACAACACCAACGTTCTGTGAAGGGTTTGCTGAAACAAAACCAACTCCCTTTCTTGAACAGACTGAAGCAAAGCCTCTTCACTCAGGGTGACTTCCCCGGGATCCTGCCCCCTCAGCATGCACTGACCGCTTATCAGATGCTCTGCGAGCTCCGAGCACCGCCAGGGAAAACGTCGCCCTGGCGCCAGAGGGAACCTTCTCCAAGCCCCACATTTACTACTCTAACAAGGCTTTGCACGATCTCAAACCAGGTCTACGCACAGGAGAAAAAAAAGGCTCCTACCTCACCGTGACAGCCACAGCGGAGCTCTGAAACCTGCTCCTCCTTAACACACACTGCGCCCGCCCAGCCTCTGAAGAGCCAGCATAATCAAGAGGGCTTTTCTCTTCAGCACAGACTGGTGATTCTGAGAAAACCCAAATGATTTCAAGATGCCATGAGTTTCCCCCCTTTGCAGAGAAGTCATTCACCGAGACAGGGCCTGCCTCCCGGGCTGGTGCTTCAAGGCCTGAGCCAGTTGTTGGCTCTTGCACCTCCTCCTGGACTCATGTATGCGTGCAGGCAGGTTATTTCCATGCAGGTAGGTTATTTCCCCAGCTTGCTGGGCTCCTACGCAGCTCCTCACAGCAGTAACAACAGAGAACTGACAGAAAGGCAGAGTCCTGATCCACCCTGGCATCTCCTGGATCCAACCCCCAGGGAACACCACTGAGCCCTGCAAGGAGCAGCCAGTGTGGGCACACGTAGTGCCTGCTCCATCAACCACAGAAACCTGCCAGCGATAACACCCGGATCTTGGGAGTTTTAGATCGTACCCCTCCACCTCAGGAGGCATCTTGAGTCCTCCAGCCAGCACCAGCAGGCTTCTGCCTCCTGTAGCGAAGGGAGGACATCCCACCCTTCCGCAGTACCCAGCAGGAAATTGTAAGAAACAGAAATAATTGAGCTAAGGTCAGACGGGGGCTGCAGCTGAACAAGAGCTCCTCGTAGCCCTGGGCTTTGGGACACAACCTCGCTGCTCCAGGGAGCCCCAGCACAAAACTGAAGTGAGCTGGGCTGGGGAGCAGCTCACAATGATGCTGCAATTGAAACCACTCCAAACCTGTCAAAACGTACCAACCTCTGCCTCTGGAGGGAGCTTCTCACTGCTGTCATCTACCAAGGCAGAGCAACAAATTGTACAGCAGCATAGACATCCCTGAGGACATTTCTATTCTAGATAGCACTTGCAAAAGCGAGAAGCAGACCTTGGTAATTTCAGTTGGATCAGATATCGTAAGTCTTAAGACAGAAAAAACAGGCCAGGCTCTAAGAAAGGGCTGCAGGTGCAAAGAGAACTCGCAGAAGATCAGATGAACTGCACGTGCACTCATGTAGATAGCAAAGACCCAAAGCTCACCTTTGCCACCATTGCTGCCACAATTCCCAGCACGGCTAAGACGATCAGTCCAATTCGACCTTTGTTAAACCGCTTCAAGAGGAAGAACTTGGCCCAATCCACCTTCTTCTGGCTGCCAGGTGGGTACCGGAGTTTGTTTGTACCCTCCATCTTCAGGTCCTTGATCAAGCAGGAGCGGCGGTGGGAGAAGGTCTCAAAGCTGTGCTTGCCGTGGTAGGCGCCCATCCCGCTGTTACCTGAGGGACACAACCCAGGCAGGTCACACCACGAGCTCAGCCAGTCAAACCTTTGGCCACCTGAGGCCAACAGCACGCCAAGAAGCAGCAAAGGAAGGTTTCAGTTCCTTGCCATGTGCACTGCATGTCACCTGCCCTGCAACTGCCTCGCTGTAGTTCCAAAGCACAAACTGTCCTCTACATTTGTGCAGAGCACAATTCATCCTTCTTTCCTCCCTGCAGCACTTCTCAGTCTCAAAGATGTCCATCTGTGCTCCATCTCTCTTCTTCCCTGCCTTGCTTTCACCACACACTCTCCTGCATTTCCTTGTGTTCCTCTTCTGCAAAGCTCCTGCAGGCTGTTCCAAAACCTCTTCCAATCCTTCCCAAGCTGAAGTCCTGCCCTTCCTCCTGCAAACACCACTAACTGGTCCAATTGGAGCTCATGTTTTTAATGCACCTTTCATATCAGTTTGCACCAAAAGCTTTGATCTTCCCCAAAACGCATGCAAAGGTTTTTTTTTTTTCTTTTAGTCCCTTTCCTAATGTACTCCCAGAATTTATTATTATTACCGAGATCAGTTACACAAGAGACCCTTAGGCTCTAACAGGCACAGGGGTACCTGGGCATAAATTAGCTGCTGCTGTTTGCTCCCTGGGTCACATCATGCAGCAAGTCACAATGTTTACGGAGCTCCAGCACTTACCGACACCACCGAAAGGTAACGTTGCAAGGAAAAAGTGCATGATGACATCATTTCCAGTAACACCCCCACTGGAGGTTTCTGAGATGACTCTTTTGATTAACTGACAAGAGAAAACAAAGAAACAAAACATCACAAAGGCTCAGAAGAGACCAGACCACATAACTGAGCAGGACGGGGAAGGGAAGCTACAGGATAATAGGCCACGGTGCCTAAGTTCTCTGGTTGACAAACAAGCCCTCTCCATGAAATCTTAGCTCAAGGAAAGTGGGAAAGTTCAGAGACGGGATGGGAAAGATGGAAACCTGGGAGCTTGCCTCCCTAGCAAGATATTAAAAACAACTGAATTAATCCTTATGGACTTATAGAGCAACAAAGGAAATTCAGTGGTTTAAAAAAGTCATGCAAATGTGAAGCCCTTCAGCA